AAAAGTGACCCGGTTCTAGAAAATGAAACTCATGATAAAGCTGAATATGTCGGAAACTAAAGAAGAACAGATAACTCTATTTGAAAGATTTTGATTAGTTTAGTACGACAGCAATACTAACGCAATTTGTACCAAATAACCGAAAAAATTTTAGCCAATTAGTCGGAAACTAAAGAAGCTATCCAAAAACCACAAATTGTCAAAATTACGCTTCCGGCAATTTTCCATCCAGGCGACGATATTTGAATAGGTTTGTATAGTTACCAATAGTCAGTACTAATTTGTACTGGAACCTGCAAACTTTTACTGGAAAAGTGTATGATAACCCAAAAATTTGCAAGAGAGCACTGAATCGAGAGCGTAACAACACGAGAGAGCTGCAAATTCTTGCTAGTGAAATTTTTACTAGCAGAAATTAGCTAGCAGAAGAAGAAGAAGAATAAATGTCAAAAGAATATATAAAAAGTGGTGTTACTAGCTCAGTTGATTTTGTGTATGTGTTTCGCCGCACGGCTTCTGATATCAAATTGAAAAATTTTGTTTGAATTTCTACTCACACTTACAGGTTTTGACAGTTTATGCCGCCAAAGCAAAAACAAAATACATGTAAATTTTTGTTTTTGTACTCCTGCAATCACCTTATATTGATTCGCCTTGGCACAAACAAAAGTAAAATGAGTGGAAACAAAAATATTAATGATGTACTGGACAGTGTTAGTGCTTGTGTGTAAAGCAAAGAGTTTAAAACTGATTTATAAATAGTAAAATGTTTACAGCAGATTGTCAAAGCAGTGCAACAACTGTTCTCTTGCAAGTTTTTGCTAGTTTTGTGTTCAATAACCTCTTCTGCTAGTTTTCTCTTCTTCTCAATTTTACGCTCTATTTTGCTTTTACGCTCTCGCTGCAATGTTTTACTGGAGAAGTTACTATACAAACCTAATGTTACTCGCATATTTTCGAGCCTGTATGTAAATTTTCGGGAAAAAGGTTAAAAAGTGTATTCATCTGCTGAAAAGATATTTTCGCAGATTCACAATTTATTTAAAATAAATCTATTAGCCCAATCTCCAATTCCATGTGAATAAATCTCCCCAGTGCTTAAATAATTTTCACCACATTAAATAGCTGCACAACACCCTAATTGTCGAAAAAGCGTTGCTTGCAACACTAGTCCTTTATGGGGACCAAACTTGGCGAAAAAAAATAGCTAAGTTTGTTTACTGGATATACTGAGATGTAAATAATATTAATTAGCACTTTCTCATTACTTTGAAAAGGGTCCTCTTTAACATTGTTTACATTATATTTTAATACGGAATTTCGCAATTCAGTTCTTTGAAAAGCATAATTTTCAAAGAGCAGATTTTTGAAAACGATAATTTTGTTAAGCAGAATTTCGTGTTCCGAATTTTGAAGTACTAACCCCCAAGCAAGGTTAAATTATTTCATTAAGTCTACTGAGCACATTATCGAAAATGTGTGAAACGGCAGTTTCCAGAATAGTGAAAAAACTATATTTACACCAGAGGTGGGCAGCCTCGGCAGAGCATCTTTGTAATGTGCTAGCAATTGATGTCACTGGGTGCGTGCGAATAAGTTGAATGAAGCTCTCGCTGTCTTCTCAAGCAGAGCGTGTATGTATATGCGAATACGACGCGAAGTTGCCCTCTGGACGCTGCCCAGGACTGATTTACACCCCTATTCTAGAACCCGAATTTTCGTAATTCGTGTTTTTCCAAGTCAACCGTATGAAGGAAACAAAGTAAAAAGGAATTAAAAATCCACTTTAAGTACTTATTTATGGTAAAATTTTTTGATTTCACATATTTTGAAGAAAATTATGGATTCTATCGCATTTGCAATTATTGCAGTGGAGTAAGAGCGCGCTATGGAAATTAACTCACAAAGGTAAGCGGAGCTGTGGGCCATAGTAACCGTGGACGCATCTATGTATGTCAACTTCTGGTTGAATTGTTGAACCACAGGCCATAACTCCTCTTATACCTGAAGAACTGGTTATCAATCCAGTTAATGCAGCTTCTTCCAAGTTATTAAAAATGTGCGCTTGCTTCTGCCTTCGGCCGCGCTTAGGGATTATAACCCTTATTAAGTAGAATTTTCCTTTCTGTGTTGCCGGTGGGAAGCTATTGTAAAATATATAAGATATTTCTTGTGCTACGCCATCCAGAGTATGTTTCCGCAGAACCCACATCGAAATTTGCAAAAAAAGTGCATAGTTAAAACGAATTTATTAATAAACTAGTATTCGGTCTTAAATTAAAGTTGAATCCTTTGACTTCACGTGTACGTTAAAACTTTTAGATTCGGGTCATGCGTTTGGACATAACAACCCAATATCATTGTATAAATAACTAAACCGTAACAAAGTTTCTCGATTAGCGGCACCAAACATTTATTTTTGTTCGTTCATATAAAGCAGTGGATAAAAATGTACGCATATCCAAAAGGTAAAGTAATTTTTTGTCCAAACACACATCGACTAACATGTTTTTGCTTAATTACAACGCTTTTATCAACTTGCAATGTTGTGTGTCCAGACACCATTCATTGTTATAAAGCCTTTGCTTTGAAAAGATCCTAAAAAAATGTCTAGTGCATAGGACGACATCTACCTCTTAACCGACGCTACAGTGGAAATGGACGACACGCCATTTCTTTAAATGAAATTAATTGGTGCTCGTATGTATGTACATACATATGTATATGCATGTGTGTGCACCAATCTATTAATATCGTTGAACTATTTTAATATCTATTGCAAAATTTTGTACAGACAAGACTAAAAAGTAGAAAATAGATAATTTAAAACAACCTTTTAATTATATAACGATTTTATAAATGGACTAAAAAGTAGAAAATAATATTTCTCAGTCCCATAGAATTTGTTTTGATAACTTTAGATTTTGAAATTTTAGCAAAAGTTATTATAAACCATTTATGAGATTGAAAATGAAAAGCGTGTGGCGCATGCAATACAAAGCATTAGATTTAATTGACAATAGTCAAACTACATAACCTAAAATTTCTACAGAGAAAGTACAAATTTGAGATCGATTTTAAGCGGTCGTTATTCATAAATGCACATACATTTTCATTTCAATCTCATAATTGGTTTATAATAACTTTTGCTAAAATTTCAAAATCTAAAGTTATCAAAACAAATTCTATGGGACTGAGAAATATTATTTCTACTTTCTTTCTACTAGTTTTTTATATTATTTATTTTTTATCTCGTTCCGACACAGAATTGTTTTCGTACAAAATTACGTAAAAAAGCTGTAAATTTCTTACTCGATCGTTTTTAGGCATGCCACTGTTACGAATATACGATTCGGATAGCAGCATACCATTTCTACGATTCGTAGCAAAATCCATATATTGATGCTCGGCTTCGCCCGA